TTGTATTCTCAGGGCAACAATAGACAGGTACTCTTGCCAACTTTTGGAGAAGACGGAGCATTTTTGGAGTCACGTCTTTTATTTTTGCTATATACTGTTATGTACAAACCATGTTTTCAAACAATGTAAATATTCTTATTATAATGTAATGGTTGTGTTTACTTCGCTTACTATGATACAACTGTTGTGATACTACACATGACGTCGCCCCGCCCCCGAACGTTTCCGCCGTCCGTTCCGACGGTTCGGGGGTGTGACATATAAAGAGGCTACATAAACAACGAACAAATAATATTCCAACTCAAGTTCATAAAACAGAGACAAAAACTTAACTAGTAGGAACAAAAAGTCACAATCAATTAGTAACAAACAACTATCATTTAATACTAGATCTCAAGTCCATAAATTGAGAATACAGAGTCAAAAAATGAAGTATAAAAGTTGCATGAAATCAACCAGATTAATACCATCGTATTATATGTTTCCATGTATTTCAAGGACAACACTTGAAGGAAGGAAATATGCACCAATAAGAAAAGAAAAAAAGCACACACGAGATACCTCTGTTATATGCCAAGAACAGAGCTAGACATACTTTAACATCCCAAAAATCATAACCAAAAATTTCATTTTTAATATAACGATTCATAAAACATTTTAGAGAAAACATCATCAAGTTATTTCATTTCATCAAATCCATAGTTCATAATTCTCAAAAGCATGTCATAATCAAATAACAATGTCAGAGTTCAATCCCAAGAACATCATAGTGCGGAAGATAGTGGTGTGATGCGCTACTACCGCGTCGGCTCCTTTTCCTTCGAAGAAGAAGGACCTGAAACAAAAACTATAAACCGTAAGCACAAAGCTTAGTGAGTTCCCCCATCATACCTCATACCATATAACAAACATACTGCCGAGCAATTCTGGGGTGCCCGACCTACCCTGCCAGGCCATTCTGGGGCGCCCGACCTACCCTGCCACGCAATTCTGGGGTGCTCGACCTACCCTCCGGTTTATCTCAACCAACTATGGGGAATATTTCACCCCTACTACTACCATATAATATCATAGCATAAACATACTGCCATGCAATTCTGGGGTGCCCGACCTACCCTTCGGTCCTTACGACCGTGACACAAGGACTATTCCCCCTACTACCACTATCACATAACATCATATCATGCTAGCACATAAAACATATCAGGTAATAGCAAACCTAGATAATTATCACAAAGACAATCATCTAATCAAACAACTCCTACTAGTGGGCCGACATTGTGGCCGTAGACCCACTTCTACTGGAAGGTAACTCACATCAATGTCGTGCAGTAACTGAACTGTCTTCGGTGCAAGGATCAACTCTCCTCAACCTCCTACACATATCAGTCTTCTTTAGTTACTCCTTCATATTCATATCCCCTTTAAGGGTCAATCTTGGATAAAGGTCAAAGTCAAAGTCAAAGTCAGCGCTCTGGTCAAAGTCAACATCCTGGTTGACTCAACTCGCCGAGTTGGTCCATCAACTCGTCGAGTTCCATAATTCAAAGAATTTTGAATTCGCGATCTGACTCGTCGAGTTACCCTCTAACTCGCCGAGTTTCTTCTTATGATAGAATCGGGACTTTCCATTTGAACTCGTCGAGTCCTTCCTTGGACTCATCGATTTCTCCTTCATACAGTCGGGACATTTGCTCACTGACTCGGCGAGTTCATCCTTGGACTCGTCGAGTTCTTGACCTGTAAGTCCAAAACACGTCTAACTGGCTGAGTCATCTTCTAGACTCAACAAGTTGCTAAGTAGCAGAGAAGGTTGGGGGAACCACGACCCGACTCGCCGAGTCCTAAGAACTACTCGTCGAGTCCCCTATGATCCAAATCTATACAGTCGATTTCAATCGGGCTTAATGCATCCAAAACATAAATCTGGCCTCCTAGGGTCGATATAACACGCAAAGTTACAAACTTTACGTTCATGCATGCGCTATTTAGCTCAAAAGCCCTAAAAAGTGGTTTATAGGGTGAATGGGACTCTCATGGCCATAAAGTTGGCACCTTTATGCCATGGAGTCCCTCAAGGACCCTGGATCTGAAGTCTAAACCCCAAAACATGCTTGCATCCATGAATGGTTCCAAAAATGGCTCCTTAAATCCCTAAGCTACCCCAAAAGAGATCTACTAGATGAATGGACAAGGTATAAACTTTATACCTCAAATGTGTTGGAAATGGAACACAACCTCTGGATCTACTTGCTTCCTCTTCAACTCCCAATCTTCTTCTTCCTTCTCAAGCTTCAAAACCACCAAAAACACACAAAAATGGCTCAAGAACACTCAAAATGGGTTAGGGTTTCGAATTAGGGTTTTCTGGACTAAGGGAGGCGATTAGGGAGGCCACAATGGGGGTGTGAAGGTGTTTAAATAGGGTGCAAACCTTGAAAATTAGGGTTTCACTCTGGCAGGCCTACTCGTCGAGTCGAGGCTCCTCGACTCGTCGAGTAGACTTCAAGTCCCGCGTCCAACATATCTAATTCCTACTCGACGAGTTTGGGGCCTCCAACTCATCGAGTCCCTTAGCAAATATGAAAAATTTCTTATTTAAATACGTACCAGGAACTGGACGTTACACATACGTGCTAAGGCGATCTTGCTACCATAAGAGAGAGAAAATAGCTTATAATGGTCTGTCTTAGTCTCTTTGATATGCAGAATAAACCAAAAATGAAACCAAAACAAACATAGAGCCTATAATAGTGGGATAATAACATAAAACTCAAATTGAGTCTAATTAGAACTAGAAGTTCCATTATGGAAACTAGAATTAAGATTAACCAAAAAAATCTAAGTTACAGTTACAATGATTTTAGATACAAAATCCAGAAGGAAGTTGAAAGCTAGAACCAAGTTAGACATTGAATAAAAAGAGCACTGCAATAGTAAATCAAAGGTTACAGTTACTTCTAACTTATAGATTCATAAGGAAATTGAAGATCTATAACTAAGAAAACAATAAAAATAGTAAATTAAAGGTTACACTGATTTCAAAGTCAAGATTTATGGTGAAATCGAAGATCCATAATCAATGCAAACAATGGTAGAAAGATAAAAACTAGATCTAGGATTTCCTTTTTTAGAAGAAACCATCATATGAAATAAAGTGAAACATGAACAAGATCTTTAAGAGGAAGATGTATCTCAGGGTCAGGGTTATAGTAAAGAAAACCTAATATAAAATTAGAAAACAGAAGATCTTTGAATAAATCAGGGTTTCGAGATAACAACAAATTTAAAGCAAACCATAAGTGTTCAAAGCTTGAATAAATGATAATTTCAATTCATAAAATGGAAAGATCTGATAAGATAAACAATGGATCTACACCGAAAATATAAAAAAGATCTATTCAGAAGCGAACAATATCCGTTAAAAAAAGATCTAACCTGTATAATGACGGATCTACACTGAAACGTTTAATACAAATGGCGATTTATACTCAACAATTGTCGATCTACACCTTAAATGTAGAAACAATTGATAAGTTGGTGTATATTGAGCGATTGGCCACCTAGATACCTCAATGCTCTAGAATTACAACAATATGAAACTACAAACATTCTTCAAGGTAAGGATTTAACTAAAACTTTCTTATCGATCTTCATGTTAACACAAAGAATAAACCTCACAAACGGTACAATCACACTTGCTAAGAACATATATAAACTTGAAGAATAATATACCATGGCGATATATCAATTCTATGAACAAGATGAAAATAACTCTCACACTCTTAGATTAGGGTTTGAGATAGACGGAACAATTTGTAAAATGTGAACAAAGCATCCAAACGTATTGCATTTATAGTCCGCATAATTTGCACTTAGCTCCATCCCGCTTCCATACTTCTTAACAAGTACCCATATTTCATGGATTGTCACTTCCATCCCTTCATATTCTAGTAGCTTAACATAATGTATCCTGTAGTTGGTGTTTGTGAATGCTTGTTAAAATGACTTATTAAGTTATTGGTTTTTTCAAAAAACCAATAAATTAAAATAATGTTTGACTTCTTCAAAAGTTCATTTCAATTGGCTTTTTGGCAAGACAAAATGTGGAGTTTTTAAATAGTTAGTGATTCCTGGCTTTTTTTCACAAAGTCAATAATGATTTTTCTCAAAAGTATTTTTGAGGTTAAAAATCACTCCCAAACACTCCCTTGTTTAAATGTCTACACAAAATCAAACTAAGTTACTATTATATCATATACATTAATGCTATTCTAAGTTAACCTAACACAAATGGTAAAATGTTAGACTTTTCAACATAAGGGTTACCGAGGCCAAAGGATGAGGGAGGGGCTCATTTAAAGAAAATGGAAGAAAAGAATTGACAAGGATAGGATAAGTACGAACGGAAGGAAAAATATTTGTTGGCAGTTGGGGAGGTTATCAATTAAAGTTTCTATGTATAGGAAAAACTTCAATATTATTTGTAAAACCTATTATGTTGCTATACACATAATAGTTAAAACTTCATTATTATTTTTAAAACCTATTTTGTTGCTATACACATAATAGTTAAAACTTCAATATTATTTTTAAATCCTAACAATCAAATTAAAAAATAAGGCAAACATAGAGGCGTTGGCTAAAAAGACACCCCAATTTGCCATATAGACACCCTAATTAATTTTTGAAATATTTTTATTGGTTGAAATTGTATTGTTTTCCGAAAAAATTGATTATAAGTAGTTAATTATTAATTGACTTTTTATAAATATGCTAATAGGATGTCCAAAGGGTGTCTTAATAGCATCATCCAAACATAGATTATATCACAAATTTTCATATAAGATAAAACAAAAATAAGCATGGTAATTCGAATTCCAATTTCCAAGTACAAGGTATGGTCACGTGTACAACCGTACGTGGCAATAAAAATAATTATATATTGAAACTAAAATCCTGAAGAGTCAATGGCCGTGTTTTGGACTCAATACTGTTGAAAACTGGTGTACCAAAAAATACTTGGCAAATTGAGGGAAAGTACATAGCAAAGAAATCTTGAGTTGGACTTTCATACGGCGAACGGTAGTCATCCGACGACTATGAATTCAATCAAACAGAAGTCATTCAGATATTTCCTTCTTATCTGATTTAGATATCTGGGTTTGATTCAGTTCTGTTGATGAAATCGAGATGGGTCTATCAATCAAGTTTTCATCTTTGAAACTCGAGTTGATTTCTTGGTAAATCTTCAATCTTTTTTCACTACTACAGCTTGTATGATTTTAGGATCATCTTCTTACACAAGAACCCCAATAGAGTATCGGTTTCCGAGTTTCCTCTAAATCAGATTTTTCCTCATGGGTTTACTTAGATTTTAATTACATTTTGCTGTCGGTCTAGTTTAAGAACCCTATTTTGAGTAAAAAAGGGCATTCGTATTTGGCTATTCTGGATATTGGGCGTCTTTTAGATCAGATTTCGCTTGACGGTGTACCGATTTCTCCCCATTTTGGTGTTGAATTATTTCAGTTAGCCCTAATTCGAAAAGGGTTCCCGATTTAGCCTAATTATCTGATTCTAAGAGCTGGAATTAGTATTTCCTATTGAATGGAAGCACCAAATTCGTAAGTGATTGTGTTTGAAAAAATCGGATTCTGTTTTTGAAATTTGATGAGATGGAGGAAAATGCAGCTGCTTTGCATACTGCTAAGAATTCGGTTCAGGCATTGGGTAAGGGCTTTGATGTAAATTTTGACACAAGGTTGCTATACTGTAAGGGAGTTGCAGGGAGTAAAGTTGTGGAGATTGATGAAGAACACAAAAGGGATCTTTGGTTATATGATAACTTGGTTGTGCCAAATGTATCAAGGGATATAGAGAGTTATCAGGAACCAATTAATCGTAATAGTTCTGGTGTTTGCAATTATCATGAGGTATATCATTCATTCATCATGCCTAACTTTTTTTTTCTTTCACTTTTGCATATTATAAAGTCTTTGTCTGCTTAAACATCAATGTGGTTTTAATTTTTTTTCTTAAATAGTTATTTAACGTTATCAAAATTTAAGTTCAATTGTAGTTATTAGAATTGTAGAAGTCTAAATTGAACCTTTGGGGGCGATTAATCCGACGGATCCCGTGTGATTCCGTCGGAATTGGAATTCAATTACATTCCAAATCCATGGAATTCAATTCCCAGTATTTTTTCCTTGTTGTATATACTAAATTTTCTTACATTTTGTTAACTAACTATTTGATTGCAGATGGTTGAGTATTTTAACAAGAGAGCCAATCTATCAGGCAATGTTCCTCTTGGTAGCTTCAATGCTGCATTTAGTTTCACGGGTTCAAAACATATTGATGCTGCAAACACAAAGACACTTTGTACAGATGGTTATTTCATCCCACTTGCTAAATTTGAAATCACAAAGTCATCTTTAATATTACAAGAAAGTGTTAAACGAGCAGTGCCCACATCGTGGGACCCACCAGCCTTAGCAAGGTATACCCCTTCTTGTATTATGTACAAAAATCTAATTACTTTTGACCTAACATTGCCTCTAATGGTTCTTTTATTGTTTTTTTCATGATAGTTTTATCGAGAATTTTGGAACACATGTAATCACATCTGTCACAATCGGTGGTAAAGATGTTATATATGTTAAACAACATCTATCATCACCTTTGTCAACTGTGGAAATAAAAAACTATGTTCAAGATATAGGAAACCATAGATTCTGCAACACCGAAAACCTAACCGATTCGGGTCTTTTGAGATACAAGGAAAAGGTCAGTTTCCTATTTTCCCATTTTTCTTATAACATATTGTATCAGGCATATGTGCCTCATCTATACTGTATGAGTGTATGAGGCACAATGCGCCCCATACATACTGTATGAGGCTCAATGTGCCTCGTACATATTGTATGAAGCACATGTAATTTGCCTGATATGAGGCACCATGTGCCTCATATAATATATCTTTTATGAGGCACATTGTGCCTGATACATACTGTATAAGGCACAATGTGTCTCTGTCTCATACATATTGTATGAAGCCACAATGTGCCTCAGACATAATGTATGAGACACCATGTGTTTCATACATACTGTATTAAGGCACCATGTGCCTAATACATACCGTATGTATGAAGGCATTTGAAAGGCACTATGTGCTTGAGACATACCGTATGAGGCACAATGTGCCTGATACATAAGATAAGGGACATTTAGATGCTTATGTTGTTATTTTAGTATCATTATTTTTTTTTGAAGTTGTGACTTGATATGATTATGGTTTTTTGGTGGCAATTTGGTAAATTTTTTGTTATGATAGGGTGGTGATCCGTCATTGTTTAGTAGCCAAGGCATATATCCTCAACCCACAAATGCACCGTCACTCGGTGGAAATGCAAAGGAAGTATGTAAGACTGTATGCTTTGTGCTTTTTCTTTCACATGAATATAAATATTGGGAATAAATTGAAAATTATATATATATTTATTCCTGACAAGTGTTATATAATACAGTTTGTATTTTTAGAACTGGAAGAAAGAAAAGAAAAAGATGAAAACTGAAGTGGCCTCTGCTTCTTTTAGTTGATAGAAATTAAAAGATGTTGTCTTAAATTTAAACATTTCTATACTAGAAGAATCTTTAAACTTTTTGTATTAATCAAAATCTGAAACTATATCTAAAACATAATTTAGATTAAAGATTTAAATTTTTTTTTCCTTATGCAGGATGTAACAGTTATTTTCAGAAGAAGAGGAGGAGATGATCTGGAGCAAAGCCATACTCAATGGGAGAAAACCGTAAAATACTCTCCAGATGTCATCAGCATGTCATTCATTCCCATTACTTCTCTTCTTGAAGGATTACCCGGAAAAGACCATTTGACCCGCGCTATTGCTCTCTACCTTGAATGTAAGCCACCTTACCTTCGAAGGGCATTTTCGTCTTTTACACAAACAATAAATCAACCGTCAGTCCCTGTCCCACCTTCTTCCTACTTTTTCACTCAGACAAAAACCCACACTGTCACACTGTCACTGTCACTAATCTATTTTGTATATTTGGCGCGCAGACAAACCTCAGATAGAAGAACTAAGATACTTTCTAGAGTTCCAGGTGGCACGAGTGTGGGCCCCATTACAAGATCGGCTTCCAGGTCATCAAAGAAAGGAACCTGTTTGTCCATCTTTACAATTTAGCATGATGGGCCAAAAGCTTTACGTTTCTCAAGATCAGGTATGCACTTCTCATAGTTTTTCTTATTACTTATATATTTTTTTTAACTATAAACATTAATATGCAACAAATAAATTACATTCCTATTATTAATTTATAGATATCAGTGGGGCGTAAGCCAGTAACTGGGATCCGATTATGCTTAGAAGGATCAAAACACAACCGATTAACCATTCATCTTCAACACCTACAATCCCTCCCAAAAATCCTTAGACCATATTGGGACACACATGTAGCCATCGGTGCACCCAAGTGGCTAGGACCCGAGGAGCAAGACAGCCGATGGTTCGAGCCCGTGAAGTGGAAAAACTTCTCACATGTCAGCTCCGCACCAATCGAAAGCCCAGAAGCCGCTTTCATTGGTGACTCGTGTGGGGTCCACATAGTCACTGGGGCCCAGCTTGGTGTTTGGGATTTCGGGTCGAGAAATGTCCTTTACATGAAACTTTTATATTCATGGTTGCCTGGGTGCACCATTCGAAGATCTTTGTGGGACCACACTCCCAATAATGCTACTGGCTCGAGCCTGGGCTTGGGCTCGAGCCCATGCTCGAGCAGTAGTAATAAGTTGGCTAAGTTTGTTGATATGGCGGAGATGAGTAAAGGGGCGGTGGATCCGCCAGGGCATTGGGTGGTTACTGGTGGTAAGCTTGGGGTTGAGAAAGGGAAAATTGTATTGAGAGTTAAGTATTCTCTGTTGAACTATTGAGTGTGGTTGTTTGTGTTGGGAAAGCTACCGGGCCGGGTCAGGTCGAGCTTGGTCGGGCCGGGTCATGAGTGTTTTT